GAATATTCTGAGAGATCACCATAAAAATTTATGAAAATAAAATAATTTATAAGGTTGTGTCGTCTTAGGATATGCAGAGGAGTGGTTCTAAAGTAAATTCAGAAATGTCTGATGTGAAAGAAAGTTCAATAGCTGCTATGTGGCAGTCGCCATGATGTCTTGGTGAAATTCGCAATAAATACCAGTTAAGTTACCGTATCTTTACACAACCCGAATAAAAATAATTCTTCGCATTTTAAATGACCCATATTTATTACATTTTGCAGTTTATGCTTATTGTAAATGAATTTTTTTAAGTGGATTGTCAGACATTAGGCTTAAATGTTGTAAAGTTCTGCACCTCGATATCATAATTTTGTCCGTGTTACATCAAACGAGAATTTCTTAAATTCCAACAGCAACCACGTACTACAGAACAAAATGTAACCAGAAACAGGTCCACCCTTGTGTAATAGGTTCCCCCAACAGCCTGCATGACACCGGAGAAAATATCAAGAGTAACAAATTTTTCCCTTAAAACATTAATAAGAAATATAAATTTATTCTGAGTAAAATATCTTTATAATTATAATTACATATATCATTAAAAACTTATAACATGTAGCAGTAAATTAATTATTGTTTTGATAAAGACGACTTTCAAGAGAATACAACACAATGAGTCAGATATAGAAAATTTGAAAAGAAGGAAGGAGAACATACACGTATTACCAGAACTTCTATAATGAACTGTGTACCTATTACAACCTAGAAGAGTGCAGTGTTTGCATTGGAAAACATAGAAAATCCTGGGCAAATTCCTCTCATAAGTGAAATTTATCCTATGTAGTATTTGAAATTTTTTAAAGCAGTGAGTCCGAAGATGGCTGTCTTCTGGGTTGTTGCGATGTATAGTCTCGTAGAAGTTTACTGATATTTAAGAAGGTCCTTGCTGCCTCCATCATCATGACCCTCTGAAACGTCTGTAAACTTCTACCAGACTACATGGCACAACAAACCAGAAGACAGCCATCTTTTGTAATTCGTAATGTAAAAAATACATGTACCATGTTTTGTTTTATAAGAGTCGGATTGACTGGCTGCATTTTGTGCTCACATTTTGTTTTCTGTTCATCAGTTTGACCAACCATCTCTTTGTTGTCTTCCACCAGTGTGAATATGGGGCAGTACGGGGCCTTATAGCGTTTCTGTTACTTGGCACAGTGGTAGAAGAAACTGCAGACTCTGCAAATAACATATTCACATTATATGTTCTCTGTTCATCTAATGGATACATGAATTCTTAAATTAACTTAGAAGAATTTATTTTTCTGGCAATAATTATTTTGAAATTCTTTCAAAACTGAATCTACTACGAGCCTTATAGCTAAGGACATAAGAATTTTAAGCAACTTTCCTCGTGATTCTACCCTTATCCGTTCCAATGTTTCTGCTATGCAGTTTTTAAATGTAAGAAATAAGTATGCGTGACGGAAGTTAATACCTGAAGCACTTTTGGCTATTTGCATGGAAAACAGAGTCGTGTAGTCCAACAACAATTTTTTAAAAAGAATACGTCAAATCTCACATTGAGAACGTTTGCTGTGGGCAAACTATCTTAGTTTGAGAATTTTTATGTGCAAATGATACTGCATTCTTCACTATTCATTTGAATACAAATGATGTTTGTATCAAATCATACGCTAGTTCTACATAGCTTGAGCCTAATTAAAATTAAACAAGAATTTTTGCATGCAGATAAAGCAATTTGGTAAGAAAATAAAATATCGTAATTTGCACAGCCGATACCAAGAGACACACAGCTACCACAGAATGCCAAACCGATAGAGTAAACCTCCATAGTGAGCATCTTTCTGAGGAAGACAGAATGTTTGTGGCTACAAGTATTTAAATTGGATATGTATATTTTTTATGTAAGTTTTCCTTGCATAATATCATTGGCTGCTTTGTATATGCATTGTAAGGGTATACATATACATAATATTAAAATTTTAACTTATGTTTAATTGCTTGTTAAATCTCCTTGGCACATAACGTATTTGAAATTAAGAGCAAAATAATTGACTTCAGGCTATAGGTACTGAGCACTAAATCTTAACTCAAAAGTGCTAGATTACGATTAATTTTTCTCTAGCTTCCAACAGAATTACCATACATAGAATTATATTTCAGAATACATGAAAGGAACAAAGAAAAATATGTCAAATGTACAGAATATATTTGTACTTTTTGGGGTGAATATAGCAAATTTCTATGCTTTCCTTAATTATAAATGCAAGAATTTAAAAAAAAATCCGGTATAAAATAAATTCCCTAAACATCTACACTAAAAGAATTTTCAACTCGTAATCAACATCTACCTTCTACCCGAACAGTTGTAGATGATTACTCGAACGAGGCCACCAAATATCATGGTCAATTAACCTTCAATATTTCTTAATATCTGGGAGATTCTATTATGATTTTCTGTCTGGAGACCGGCTATCCTCATTGAGGTGTTCTTGACTTCCCTCAATTTGCAGAAGAAAGCCTTAGTAGCCTGCAACAAGAGATGATACGAAATTGAACACTTACCTTCCGTGGTATAATATTTCACACGTCCACCAGCAAAGCTCCTATTAATATGCATATTTTCACAGGTTTCCTCAACGCGCAATTGTGCCCTTTGTACACCATTTGGGTTGTAACTATGAAATATATAAAAATGAATAAAATGAACATAAATTATTAAAAATTGATGGAAATATATGTACTGATAAGGAGGATATCTAGCCTTGGATAGATAAAGTAAGAAAATAATGTATTAAATTACACTGTAGAAAAATGAATGATTTATACTCTTCGCTAACGTTCGAATAATTATGCCAATGGTAAACTAACTGGGGCATATTTCAAAAAAGTAGTGAAACAAGTAGAACTGTGAGTTAGAAAATTTTGTAAGAAATCGCTGGAAACCAGGGTCTTATATGGAAGAATAATATTCTAAATGGGTCTTTGAGAACAGGCTGTGACGTTATGAGATAGATTAAACATACAAAGTTCGAAAGGTGGTAACAAATCAAAAGTAAATATAATGTTGTTAAGTTTTAAACATGAAATCATATTCCATTAAACTGGTCGTATCAGCAATTTAAATATGACAGCCAAATAACATTTTGAATGTCAGTAGCCACGACATCGAACAGAAGATACTGTGAAAATAAAACGGCTATATACCCAGCTGTTAGAAACATTTCACAACTTCAAATTTCTTAACGGGGACAAAAATATTATACCAAGAATACTTTTCTTCGCGTTAACGACCGCTGACAAGTGACCAGGAGTTCCTAGGTCTCTGTTAGGGGTTTGTCGGTTTTTAAAAACCGGGTTTAAAAACCGATATTTTTGGATAAATTTGTAAAATTCGAAAACCGGTTTTTAAAATTTAAAAAAAAAAAGATTTTTAGGTACTACAATTAATATGTAAAAATTAATTAAAAACATTAACATTTTGACTTGAAATCGCCTCGGGCACAAGCATATTGTAGTAAAACTAATCTTCATGAGTCAGGCGAATGTTTGACATGCAAATCCACAAACGCATTCTATTATGCTATTATTATTATTTGATTTTGTATGGAGTATATTTTATTTTGTCATATTTTTGTAGTTCCATAAAGATTAAATAAACTGATTTTTTTTTAAAATAAGTATAAATATTTTTTTACTGTTTTAATTTGTTGTAAAAAATCGAAAACCGGTTTAATCGGTTTTTTCAAAAGTAAGTTTTCGTATAAACCCTAGTCTCTGTAAACGGGTCTCAGTTCTTGACCACAGCATTTAAAATCTAATATCGTGATATTTGTAAATGTTTCAAAAAAAAACAATGGTTACAATTTATTAAATAACTACAACTCGTATTATCAGTAAGGACGAATCATGGGGTTATAAGACTATATACAACAGAAACTAATCACCTGATATGATCACTCTGTAAATGGACGAATGGTGAGGTTGTTCTGTCAATTGTAGTACTGGATTCTACCGACATTGCCCTGTCACTAGTGGAGTCATGTCGAGGTTTTGCGTCATAATCCTGATAACTATGACAAATGCCACGTCGTTCCAACGTCTGTGTAATACATTTTACTGGCCGCGTGTCCCTCTTAATTTTGTCATTTGTCTTCCTGTAATACTGAAGCTGATCCTCCAAATCACGTATTTTGGTACGAAGTTTCGTGTTTTCCTCCATACGTCGTGCCAGATCACGTGCTGCCGATGTTAGCTCAGCGCCCAGTCGGTTTATAAACAGATTTTTCAAGGTCACTTGTGATTGCAGGTCACAACATTCTCGTTCTTTCCGCCTCATTTTGTCTTCCATTTCTGAAGCAACTTTCATCGAAGCAACAATTTCCGACTCCAGGTCATTGAATTTCTGTACAATTTCTGCTGATACCATTTCAAGTTTCCTTTCCTTGCATTCCATCGTCCTAAAATCTACTGCTTGTTAAATTGCCTTGCGTCTAGATCCAAAGTTTCTTGCAAGCAGAAGTTACTTTTCATAACAACGTAGTCTCTCATCCTTCCTGGCTAATTCTTTTTGCAGATCTGGAATATAATTCTCACATTCCACCTACAAAACGCCACAATCAATCACAAGAAATTGTATTATAAGAAGAAAATATTGAACAAGAAAACATTTCTTACATTAACAGATTATCACGTTGAATGTCAGAGAGACTTATGCAAGAAACCTTTGTTTCTCTAACGATTAACAGAAAATGTTAACAAAGGAACGACAGACTCTGCCGCAGTATTACTGAAATCGGCTGCATACAAGCGGAAAAAATTAACAAAATTAATAATTATACGAGCCCATTTACATATATAACAATCTTATGTTACTGATATTTGCTAGTGATTTGTTTACTTTTTGTTACAATAATACAACATCCGTTTTCTTTAGAGAATAATGTTTCTTTACGATCAACGAGTCAGGAGACATTTTAATATTTATAGTACTATACACGCTGCACTTCATGGATTAGTTTGTAAGTCCAGGCCCTCTTGGAACGACGATATCCTCTCAACAATAATTTTCCAACAGACGAATGAAATCGGTAGAGAATATAATATCACCATTTACGTGGCATATACAGGGTGATTCAAAATGTTAGGGCGTATAGAGGGACTCGTCGAATACGAATCCATGTCCTCCGAAGTAATCTTGAGTCTGTCGAGGCCATTGAAGTCTGATAACATATCGCTGAAATAATTTGGTTTGTAAGATTGCTAATGTAATCCTTATACATTAATAAAAAAACAAAATTAAGCTAGTAAGAGAATAGCAAAGTACGATTCATTATGGAGATGAGAAATGCACACCAATTTAGTGGGGGGAAACCGAAGGGAATATCTGGATTTAGATGGGAGGATAATATTAAAACTGATCGTAAATAAACAAGATCTTTGATATTGTGGACTGAATTTATCTGGCTTAGGATATTGTTTAGTGGCGGGCTGTTGAATGCTGAAATGAACCTTTGGGTTCCAGAAATTGGAAGCAATATCTTTGTCGGTTAAATGAAAGTCAGCTTATCAAGAATAAATCAGCTTCCCAGAGTTGGTTAACTTATTGATGTTGTTCCCCTGTCTAGATATGCACGTCTGTGACGTAGCACTTGCAGTTGGTCATATTACATTCGCATTGTCCCGGGAAATACATTTACATATTTAGAAAATTTCTAAATATTCTAAGTTTTTAAAACATGTAAACATCTACAAGTTTAGAGATCCCAAAAATTTTTGAAATTTCAAAATCCAAAATTAAGCATTTTTTTTTAAATTTCCATATTCGAAAGCCCAGCATTTAGAAGTCATTAAATATCTTTCCTAAACTAAGTTCCCTTAACCTGAACTAAAAATTGAATGTGGAACCACGGTTCCGGAGAATCTGACGTAAAATACGTGTTTGTATTTAAATTATCATCATCGGACTCTTTTAGCTTCAATGTCATCCATCTTGTTATCTCTACATAGTATAACGCAACTGCGCAGACGCAGTAGTAGCGTGGAGTGCGATGCGCCTTTGTTTATATAAATAAATGTTTGTAGAACCTAAACCATCTGTGATATGTAAAATCTGAAAACAGATATGGAAAGCTCATGAGGTAATACGTATTTCGTACGCAATATGTCCAGATCCATCTCTTACGGTTTTCGAGAGGCGGGCGCTTAACGCGCCAGATGCATTGAAAATTGTACACATTGGTTCATTAAAATTACAATAAATATATAAATAATTATAATTACAATAAATACATTACAGATTCTTAAAGGTCGTTATTTACTGATCATTTTACATATAGGTTACATTACCCTCACTCTCAGCATTCCTGAGGAATGAACGTTTAAAAGTCACTCGGCACTGGATCTTACCTTAAACTTTGTTCAATTGTAACAGACCACGATGTGCACCGGCAATTATCAATTTAACCAAAAATAAAATGGAGAGAGTGGAGGGCAGTATCACAGATTTCTTAATAATTCTTATATAAGAGAAGAACTTGTGATATTCTGAAAGGATTTTACCAGCACAAAATTATCTATTCTACGACGCACTTCTTCTACAAGCGATTCACAGCTCAGCTCTTTCCGCAATAACGAAAGCGGATTGTTGAAGCGATAATGAAACACAACAATGCCGAGTAAACAGATGACGTAACAATTAGTTTCTTAGGTAAAGGAGTGGATTGCAATACGGTTTATTCAGGCAATTATACTGCATACATAGTAAATGATAAAAGAGTCTTTATAGCAATGAAATAGCTCTGTCATTCCGTTACATTAAATAGTTAAATATTTCTAAAATGTAAATTCAATAATAATCCTGGTCGCTACGAGTTTAAAAGCTGTCTTGACCTTCATTATCGATAATTCAGTAAACTGCACACCTGCTTTAAAGCAGTCGCTAATGCCACACAGAATATTCTACAAATGCATATCGAGTTTTTGTACAAACCCATTGTTAGAAAACTTTCGAAAAAAAGAAGATAGAATTTAGAAAATTATTTTATATTAATTTTGTAGGTATTTATTTATTATTTTATTAATTTCTTAAAGCCTGCCCCACTGTCCCGCGAAGATCTGAATCAAATGTGTCCAATGAACTGCGTCTTCTTTTAAATGAACCTCACTTATTCCTCAGCTGGTTTTCTCGTAATATATTAATTGATTTTCGTACATTGTTTAATGACCGCATCTTATACATTACTAACAAATTACAGTAAAATTTATTCATAGCGAAACTCAACAGGCATTTCTGTAAATAAGAAAGAAACTGATTCCAAGGACCCGAAGTCTTGCTTCAGAATCTAATAGTAGCCCAGGTAATCAAATTTCTCGCCTTTTATGAAATTCGATGTTTCATTGCCGTGTTTACAAGATCCCACACCTGGACCATATCCGGAGGCAGATGAAGTCAGTCCATACCCTCAGTCCCAATTTTTTAATGTCAATTTTAAGATTATCGTCGCACGAATATTTAGCTTTCCCAAATGGTCTCTTACTTTCAGATTTTACGATAGAAATGTTGCATTTCTTGTCTATTTCATGTGTACTACATGCCCCGACCATTTTATCCTTCACAATTAGATGACCCTAATAATTATTACTTAGAAAAGAATGCCAATTATAAAAGCTTCACATCATGTAAT